GTTTGGACCTTATTGCTGCCTATATGCTGCGTAGAGAATGTGAGTGTCCTGGGCTGGAATAAAGGACCATGGGAACTGCTGACATGGAGAAGGAAATAAAGACAGCTGAATAACAACAGAATAATAACTGAATCAATAACATGTATTGATTGTTTCATTTGTGCCAGACCACTTATAAGCCCCTTATAGTGCTCTAGCTCATTCAGACCTCAGCACACCCCACTGAATAGGTGTTATCATCACTCTCCCTTCGCAGATAGGAAAATGGAGGCTAGAGAAGTTAAGCCACTTTTCCAAGGTCAAACCCTGGTAAGACGAGCCAAGACTTAAATGCACCCAAGTCTGTTTGATTCCAGATCCCTGTACTCTCAAGTCCAGCCAGTATTTGAGCTTGGGGGAGGTCTCTTGTACTGAAAGCAATCTGTAAAGCACAGTGCTGTGATTCAGAAGTGGTACGTGGGCAGCAGGGTGCTCGTGGCTACACAAGGCTCCCAGCAAACCCTGCATGCACTGGCAGTGGCTCTGCTGGGCCAGAATCCATGAGTGACAAAAGCAAAATGTCTATAAAGGGTCCGTTCTTCAGAGTTGATCTGAAGAGGCCTTGGTGTCCCAGGAGCATGTTGGTCGGGTGCCCAAGAGTGAGCCAAGCACTGCGACATCACACACTAAGTTGGGAGTGCAAGTGAAAGGTGAGGACGCCAGAGTGGAAGGAACTAAGCCAAGTTGCCAGGTCTTAGGCAATTATAACCCCAAGGACTAGCCACTGTGCCCAAAATAACCTCCCGAGAGAATTTTAACTGACCATTTTGCAGTCTCTAGCCCAGTGCTGACTTTCAGGCCGGTGTAACTAGCATTGATCAGGCCCCTATTTTATGTTCCACAGAGACAGGGCAGGCCCACGGGAAACAAGGGAGAGCTGTATGACACGGTCCACAGTGCAGCACCACCCTGGGCAGTACAAGCCACAAAGGCAGCTGAAATTCATAGGAAAGACTAGTCAGGGTGTGCTGGCACAAGCGGGGGGTGGCTTCTTGGAACACAGGAACTGAAGGACGGAAGACAGAATAGGAAGAGAACAGCACTTCAGGTAGGAAGAAGAGTATGAGCAAAGGTGAGGCAGCAACAATGCAAACGAATTACTTCTTTGCCTGTGAGAAACCCACTGGTGGAGCAAAGGGTTCTTGTCGGAGAAGAATGGGAGATAAAGTTAAGTGAGCAGGGAAGATCAGATCATAGAGGTGCTGGATTCCATGAACATGAGTCAAGCAAATCCAACATGCAGAATCTAGGAATTCATCATGTGGGTGAGAAACCATCCCAGGCTTTATTTTAAACAGGCAGTTAAAAATATAAATGTAATTTAGGAAGATTTTTTTTCATAGCAGTGTTTGAGATGGATTAGAGAGGAAGACTAATAGCAAAAAAAAAAAACTGCACTCCCCCCAAAAAACCCTTAATGATCCTTTGAACATCCACTAAAAGTCTTACTGCAGGCAAACCTCATAAACATGGTCCTTCCCCAACCAGCCTTCACGGTCCAGTGGGGGTGACATTCATTAATTCCGTGGTTACCTATTAAGTACCTACTCTGTACCAAGGAATAGCCTGGGCCCTGTGGACACAGAGAAGAACTAAACAAAGTCCAGGCCCCCATGAAGCTCTTTCTCCAAGGGACGTGGAAGACCACACAAAAAGCAAACCAATGAATGTATCAACACAAACTCAGGTACTAAGTCCTATTGAGGAAAATAAAGCAGGGCGTTGGGCAGAGCAGAGTGGGATGAACTGGTCAGGGAAGGCCTCTCCCAGAAAACGCCACCATAGTTCAAGCCCAGAGAACAGGTAAAACGGAGGTGCCACTACCACAAATCAGGATATTGAGAAGGTGACTTCATGTTAAGAGTACAGAGAATGTGGGGCATCTTATTTGAAGTGTGTCAAGCTTTATGAAAAAAAGCAGGGCAATCGCACAGAAATATCTAGACCCTCGAACACTAATCTATAAGACCAGAGGAAGATAAAGGTTAGTATGTAGATTTAATAATCACCTATTGATAGTCGAGTAATAAGAAACAAATTTACATGAACTGAAAATAACTCAAGGACTGAAAAATGCTGGCTTTTGGTCGTGTCTCCTATGATGATCCCATCCCTACTTCATAAAATCCCAGGTGGGTGATGACTTCAGTGGGCAGCAAGCAGCAGGTTAACAAAATAATACCGCTAACAACTGAGGTTCACACACAGCCAACCATCCAAAAGACCTCTGTCCCCTGCTCCTTCAGTCTCCAAGGCACATTGGTAGGGACAGCTCTATCCACTTCTGTACTTCTCCCTTGGACCACATGTCACCCCTTTTTGATTGTTTCCTCTGCAGATGGTTCTGGGCACTTTAACGTTTGGAAGAAAGGGATTTGGAAAGCAAAATAAAATTTAAATTGGCATTCTTTGTCTTCCTAGAAATGGCAAGGATTAATATTGGGGTAGGCTCTAGGGCAGGGTGACTAACTGTTCCAGCCTGCCCAGAATGGTCCCAGTTTCAACACAGTAAGTCATGCCTCTGAAGGAAGTCCCTCAGTCCTGGGCAAAGAGGGATGAGTGGTCACCAAGGCTGGTCGGACCGTCATAGCTATATAACCTGTGTCTGACCTGTGTGATGCAACACAAGACTTTACATTGCTAAAGTGACATCAGTGCTTTAAAGCATGGGCTTAGTTTCCCAGGCCCTGTGTAATCCCCTACCCTTGAGCCTGGGCTCTCCTCCCCTCCCCCCACAACCCCTCACCCCTCACCCCAGGCAGAGGAGCTGTGTCAGAAATTCCTAAGTAGGAAGTGATCCTAAATTCCTCAGCCTCCTATTTCCTTCATCTCCCACTCAGCCTGAGCTACTACCTAAGCCAGGAACAGCAACTTTACAGGCAACTCCAATCCATGCCCCTTGCAGACCTCTCTACTCAGCATTAGCAAGCAAGCTGGTAGGGCTGGGTGTCAAAGTCAGATTCTCAAAGAGGGAAAGACAGGAACTCATCTGAGGTAGTGATGTGCTCTACCACTGCAAATCACAAGAAAGGGGAACCCCGGTGAAATGAGAATCTGCCAACCTTAAAAGATTGCTTACAGAAACACAGAAAATTCTTTGACATGTTAATTTCAGAGTTTTGAGTTCAAAGCTGAGCTGACTCAACTTCAAAACAGAAACCAGGTAAAAGCCCCAATAGAAATGTTCTTCCAAAAGCCACAATGAATGCTTGCAACACTCACAGATCTTGGCGAAGCTCACAGATCATTTCTGCCAGTTATTAGAGACTTCTCCAAAATTATAAGGAAGATTCAAAGAAAATGGCATGACTGATATTAATCTCTGCTTGGTCCCTTGTTATGGAATTTTCCTGCCCGACAAGACTAAAAGAAAAATAAGCAGAGGACACAGTCCTCCAGAAATAATCCATATCTGGCCCCTGGCTGCCTTGACTGCTTGTGTGCAGACAAAAATGTAGAAGGTTAGATAAGCTATTTAGGTAACCTCGCCCGATCTCCACAAACCAATCGTACTTCCTGAAGTACGAATAGCCAAGGCAAAGAATAGTTGTTATGGTTGTCTTTTTTTAACTGAATTGTCTGGGAAATTGCCTCAGAGCCCCAAATAAAGATTATTTTTTAAATTTTCAGATACTCAAACTTTTGATCCCTGAAACAGCTCTGCCCCATACCCCACCCCTCAGCCCCCATCCCTCCCCATCCGGCTCTGCTTGAATGATTGGGACAGGCTGCTGCAGGATTGCATCACTGACCTTTGCAATTTTCTGGCCAGTCTGATTTCCCCCTTCCCCAGCCCGCTCCCTTTCTTTTTCTAAAGCCCTTTGGCCCACCCATTTCTTTTTTTCCCTGACTTGTTAACTCTGGCACATGAAGAACCAAAGCTAAATCAGAACACACCCCCTACACACACACACACACACACACACACACACACACACACACACACAGGGCGATGATGTCTAATCCTACTCACGGGCCTACTATCTTCACACTTCCAAGAGTGCTTTCTATTCCTTAACTTCTCACCCAAACTCTCTGCTCTCAGCCTTCTGCCCCTATACTGTTTCTGTGATAAGCTGGGCTGGCACAGTTGTACCCCCAGATTCAGGGAAGTGGCAAATAATTTTTGAAAACAGCATGAAATATTTAGAGTTCAGACCAGCAGACTAACTTTTGCCAACAGCCCCTCTTCCATCTTCACCTCCCCTCAGCCCCCAACTTCATATCTAAAGGGGGAAAGGGGCAATTTGGATTTAATGGCAGTTCCCTGATACACAGAAGTACACAGAAATGCCTGCAGGCACAGAGACTGAGGTCACATGCACACACACGCACACCTGGGCATAACCGAGCCCCTGAATGAATAGTTATCAGCGACCTTAACAATGCAAGCACCTGTGAATAAAACCAGTCAGGCCGGAAAGAAGCACACACTGCCCTTATGCAGAACCTGGAGACAAGTTCTGTTCTTTACCCCGACGCTTCCCCCTTGCCTTCCTCCTCTAAGACCTTCACACCTGTGGGAAGAGGACAACACTTCTGAATAAAAACCAGTGATTCTCCCATTAGGTATAACCCTAGATGTCCACCTTAGGGGCCCTTCTCAGGCTGCCCAGGACCAGATAAGCAGTGCACCCACCCACACTGCTAAGAGAAAGTCGTGTCACAGAAGTACCCGGGTGCCTCCTTGGGCTCAGGTCTCACCCTTGCGTGCCCCCGAACGGGACCTCCCCCGTGCAGATCTGCCCTCCCGGGACCCTGCTCACGCGTCTTCGGCGTGCACAGCTCTTGGCCGCCCCAATCCCCAACCAGCCCCACCGCCCCACCGCCCCACCGCGTCTCAGCCCCGCTCCTCCCCCTCTTCCCTCTTCCTCCCACCCTCCTCCCCACCCCGCCTCCCTCTGGCTCGCGCAGCGCTGGCCCCAGCCCAGGAGCCCAGGAGGCGGGTTTTGGAGAAAAGATATAAGCGGTCGTGGGACGCTGACAAGGTGTCAGCTGCGGAATCTCCAACTGGCAGAGCCGCAGCTGCCCAAGAGGAGAACGCGGAGCCGGCCGGACCGACAGACGCGCCCCCTGCCCCTAGCTCACCAAGCCTCCCGGACGCTCACCGCGCAGTTCAGGTGAGCCCGGCTGGCACAGCGCAGCGGGGCCCCCTTTCTGGGGGTCGAGGGAGGCGGGCCCAGGCAGCGGGTGCCATTCTTCAGTGTTAACGGTTTCCTTTCTGCTCCTCTCCACCTGCAGGTCCCGCCCGCCCCTAGGAGCCCAGAGCCGGGATGGAAACGGTGCAGGAGCTGATTCCACTGGTCAGAGAGATGATGGCCCAGAAGCCCAGCAGGAAGCTGGTGAAGCTGTACGTGGTGGGCGGCGTGCTGGCCCTGTTCGGCGTGGTGCTGAGCCTGATGGAGACCGTGTGCAGCCCCTTTACGGCCGCCAGCCGCCTGCGCGAGGAGGAGGCTGCCAGGGCCGCACTGCAGGCCGCCCGGGAGCGCCAGGCCCTGCAGGCACTAGCCCTGCAGGAGAAGGACAAACAACGGGATGCCATCCTCTTCAGCCGGGCCCTAGCCAACCGGCAGCACGCCTCCTAGAAACTGTGGGAGGCCAGTAGAGGTGAGAGGAAGAGGGAGAGAGAGAGAGAGAGCGCGCGCGCAAGAAAGGAAAAGACAGAGCTGGAGACTGAGAATGATTCAAGTAGAAGAGAGCCGGAGTCCTGGGCTGTTTGGATGGACTTTGGAGAAGCCAGACTCCCTGAAAGTGAGCTAGCTCACAGATCCACCAAAAGGAGTCTGGGATGAGTTTTGCTGCTGTGCAGCGCCGCAGAAGGATGACCTGTCCAAAACTGCGTATCTTTGAGCCCAGTGCATCTACCATTTGCACTAGAGCAGAAGGAGGAGAAGTCCTTTTTATATTATTGGCATTATTATTATTGTTTTTACAATGACCATCATTTTTAAATAAAAGATATTTTATACAAACTCTCAGTCTCTGATTCCTGAGGGGCATGGTCCCCTGGGCTGGACGTGTTGGTGAGAGGAGTCTGGCCTGAGTGAGCACTGCGGAGAGAGAGCAGCTTCCCGCAGGTCAGGAAACACTTTCTTCACTGCTAGGGACTCTGATATTCATATTCCATGCTTATACGTCTGTTGAGGATTTGTTTTTGTTCCGTGTTAAGGATGGGAAGAGAAAAACCTCCAAACGTCCCACCAGACTTAGCGTTTTAGGTGAGGAGCTAAATCAACTTCTGAGCTAGAGTACCTGGATAGGAGATACAAAAAAATTATCATTTCACACCTGTGCACCAGAGGCTCCTATGGCCAATACCGCCTTTTTCCCAATTGTATTTTAGCAAGAGAAAGAGGGAGAGAAGGAGGGCAAGAGGAGGGAGAACACCAGCCAGCTGGTTGGAAGGGAGTGAAGGCAGGCTTCCAAGAACTCCTAACTGAATGTCTAGTTCTACCCAGCCTTCCTCCTCATGAACTCAGATCACACTAGGAGAAGGTCTTGGTTAGAAGGAAAAAAGACTGGTTGGCACAGACCTCAGCCCTCTCTCTCCCGGGACAAAGTTTGCTTGTGGTAATACCTAATTCAGTGTCTCCATAGAACTCGGCAAAGGAAATTTGAACAATTGCTCTTAAAGAGGTAGCTAGGGGCATGGGCCTGATGGCCCCTCTCCTTGCAATTTTAACATGCCTCATGCCTAACCCAATACAGACACTTCACTCTTGTCATCAATAGCTATGCGTTTTTGCCAAACTCACCAATGGCTTCTGTCATTGGCTCTGATCAGACGCTCTCTCTACCACCTCCCCCTCCCACACCCCCCTCCATTTTATTTCTGCCAGCTCGAATCCTACCCAGGCTTCCTGGCTCCGATAAAATGTCATCTCCCCCTGTGATGCAAGTTATGACTCCAAACAAAAGAACAATCAGAATGGGGTAGTATTAATCAAAGGAAAACAGGTGTATATATAAAGAAGGGAGGTATCATAAAGAAGGTACCTTTATATATAAAGGAAGAGAAGAATATGGCACCACTGTTCTCCCTGTTTCCAAATTGGGAAGCTCACCCCTATATCAAGACATAGCCTCACCTTAAATGTCCAAACACTTCTTAGGAATTCACCCAATCTTATTCTTCCAGTTCGTTTTCCCAAATCCCTCCCCTGTTGCGTTAATGATTTCTCCTCCCATTTAGCCACCATCCTGCCCAGCTCTCAACAGCTCAAACCACCCCCTAGGACATTCACCCCAAACCAACCCACTGCCAGACTGTCTTCTGTTCATACCTTCCATCCTGCCGCTCCTCCACTCAAGGAACACCACAGACTAAACTCCCATGCCCCAGTGTGTCCGTGATCTGCTTCTACCCCAGCCTTTCAATGGCTTCTCAGACTGCCCAGCACACACCCTGGTACCTTCTTTTTCGGTGTTTTGTATCTTTGTTCACATTATTCTTCCCACCTGAATGTCCTCTAGCCTACAATCTCCACATCTTCTGAAGCCAACATCAAATTCTCCAAGACAGGTATGATCTCAAGTATTCTGCCTATTGCCAAACCATATATCAAATCATGTACTCTAATTTTTTGTTTAGAAAATAATGCCTACTTTTTGGTTTGTCTATGTATAAGAAAATATATATTTTACATATTTGCCTGAATATATAAGTAATGCCTATATATTTTTAGTTTAAAAGCTATGCCTTGTGTCTATATATGTTCAAAATACCCAACCCAATTAAGTCCACACTATTGAAATTTTCTCTGTCCTAACTGATCTTCTCATTTCTCTGAATTCTTATAGATCATACTGTCTGGGTTTCATACTGGATCATTCAGAAGTGAAGTTTTTTCTTTGGTTGTTTTATGGATTTCATCATATTTCTCATAGTATAATCTTCTCAAGGTCAAGGACTACAGCTTCCTATTTAGTGTTTATAGAAATTATCAAGTCCTATGGAAATAGTAGATTCTTAATAAATATTTGATTGCTCAATTAATTGATTATGAAGTTAGAACAATGATTCTCAACGGGAGAGGGAGCAATTTTGTCACACCAGGACACATGTGACAATGTCTGGAGACATTTCAGGTTGTCTGGTAGGGAAGGAGGGGCACTACAGGTAACATCTAGTGAGTAGAAGCCAGGGATGCTGTGAAACATCTTAGAACACACAGGATAACCACCCACAACAAAGAATTCTCCAGTCCAAAATGTCTATAGGACTGAAGTTGAGAAACTCTGGGTTAAAGGAAAGTAAGGGGAAAGGATCCGCTTAGTAGTTTCAGAACCAAGGTTTTGAGGAGTCTCACAAGACAATGCCTGGGTGTGAACCAACATGATAAGACCCTCTTCCAATCCAGTAACAAAATTGGCCCTTGGCCTTATCCTAGTTGACAATTTCATCAGCAATCTAGGAGAAGTCAAGAAGGTACACATCAATTCTGCTGATGATGTAGAGCTGAATAGTAGAGTCAGGATTCAAAACAACTCAACAGATTGGAACCATGCACTGAAGCTAACTCATTGGAATGAAATAGGGAAAAAGAGCACAGAATTATGGTCCAAAAAAATCAGATGCATGGCCACAGATTATGAAAGCTTATTCTAGCAACAGATCATGTGAAAAAGACATACATATTTCTACCAATTACAAGTTCAATATAAGCCAACAAGGACTAGTGACAGGGCTGTTAAAACAAAGTAACACCTTACTGGTGAAACTAGAACATCCAGAAAGAGGGAAGAGAAGGTGGTTTTGTTTTACTTGGCCATCTGGCAAGGGAGAAACAAAAGAAGTTAAGTCTTACTGCCTGGATTGCTTGGGTTTGCATTCCAACTCCTTATTTATGAGCTTTAAAGCCCTCAACAAGTAAGTTACTTATAAACTGTCTGCCTCAAGTTACTTATATTTTCTTCCCATCTATAAAATAATGTTTCAGATTAAATGAGTTAAGTGCTTAGAGAGTACCTGGCATGTACAGTGGACCCTTGAACAATGTTAAGAGCACTGACTTCCGTTGCAGTCAAAAATCGAAGGATAACTTTTGCCCACCCCCCCAAAATTAACTACCTTCAATATTCATGGAGAATTGTTTCGAGCCTCCTGCATCTGGTGGATACCAAAACCTGTGGATGTTCAAGTGCCCCATATAAAATAACATAAATCAATGCATACATAGCCCTCCAAATCCATGGATTCCCAATCATGGATTGAAAACAGTACAAATATTTATTTTTAAAATATGTTATTTATTTATTTTTAGAGAGAGGGGAAGGGAGGGGGAAAGAGAGGGAGAGAAACATTGATGTGTGAGAGAAACATCCATTGGTTGCCTCTCACGACCAGCCCCACAACCCAGGGATGTGCCCTGACCAGGAATTGAACTGGTGTCCTTTCAGTTTACAGTCCAGTGCTCAATTCACTGAGCCACACCAGCCAGGGCAAAACAGTTCAAGTGTTTATTGAAAAACATCTCGTAAACATAGATCCATGCAGTTCAAACCTGTGTTGTTCAAGGACCACCTGTAGTGAGCTTTCAGCCGATGACTATTGCCATTGTTGTTGTTGTTTTAATTTAAGAAAAAACTGCTTCGATTAGAGTCACTTGGGCAAGTAGAAGTCAAGAAACCTTGTCACATACAGAAGTAAATGGATCACTAGAGAATAGAAGATACAGCAGTGTCACATAGCAATTGCCTACAAATAGTTGAAGGCTGCCATATTGATCCAATAAAGAATAATAAAATAGACTTATTTTATGTGGCTTGAAAGTACAGAAGTAGGACTGGCAAGTAGGAGTACAAGGAAGCATATCTTAGGTCAAGAAATCAGAGTGTTTCAAAACATAATGAGGTGTCTCCTGATGTTAAGTGCCCCATTACTAAAAGCACCCAAGCAGAGGTTAGCAATCACCTGCCAGAGGCAGAATAAACTGAAGGGGAAATTTCTGAACTTGGAGGGATGTTAGTCTTATGACCTTTGAGGTCCCATGCAATTATAAGAGGCTAGGATTCTGTTTTCATGCCACCAAATAAGGGTTGCTTCTCTAGAACGCACCACCCCGTCTTCTCTCTGTTTCCAGTACATTCTCTTTGTTCTTTTTCCAAGCATATCGACAAATATTTTTCTTCTTGCTGGATGACTATTGAAAGTAATGAATTTAATCCCCAAAATGAACTACCTCCTGATTAAATTTATCTAACTAATACTCTTCCCTCTTACAAAATACCTAACCCTAGTGGTTGAACCTAATAGTTCTCAAACTTGGTCATAATGAAACACGTATTAGTTACTTTGCTCTGTACAAAACATGGAACTCTGATCTTTGAATATAAATACATATATTATTTTGTGTTATATCGGATACCAGTTTGCACTATGTTCTAGTGAAAACAAATACTAAGAATCAACTGTAAGAATATTAAAAAGTTAACACAGGCTTGGGAAAAGTTTGATTGCTCTATCATCATGGTACCCAGAACTAGTTTTAAACCTATCAGCTCAATCAATGACAACTCACCTCAGTCAAAACACCTTTACAAGCCAACCAATCAGTGATAGCCCAAAAGGTCAGCCAACCTGGAACTGACTCACCCATAAATATATTTCAGAGTGCCAACCAATCAACAAATAAATATGCTTCCATAGATGATGTCAGCTTACTTGTGTGTGAGAAAGGACACCAATCCCTGAACTCCATGCTTCTCAAAATCAACAAGTCTACTTACTGGGTTCCTCAGGCCCAAACTGTATTTGCCCTTCAATCTGCCACCAGATAAGTCAGGCCCAACACTAATCTAAACTCAGCTGGCTTCACTGAGTTCTCACCTCAATCTTTACATAAAGTAATTAGAAATTTTAGTTTACAGATTTCATTCTGGTAAATAATTATACCTAGGCTTTTGTATAAGGTCATCAGACATTTTGTTTGGAAGGTATATCTTTGACTAATTAGACACGAGTTTGTATGTT